ATTATGTCTGGCAAGAGTGAGGTCTCCTAACAGCAAGGGAGCTTGAAACCCTTAGTTAGCTGATATTTCAAGAACCATTGAGCCCCTGCAGGGCTAAGTGACAATATTGTCTTTAATTAAAGCAACAGGACTCTGATGGATTGGAGCCATAATTACAGCAGAACAAAGTTTGAGTGCACAGCCCAGTCCTTATCTCTGGGCCAGTCCCTTCAGCCTGGCTTTTAATGTGCCCTGACCTGGCAGCAGAGGTCGAGCCCTGGTCATGGGGTCAATCAACTGGCCCCAGTGGAAGATTTAAGATTTGGAAGCAGCCAGTCAAATCAAAGCCTCGCAGAGGAAGTGAAGTTGCGTGGGAAAACCAAACTTAATGCACCTTGCCGGCGAGGCAGGAAAACAGACAGCACATTTTTCATCAGTTTCCCAGTTTCCTCTGCCGACACAGCACATTCCTGTGAGCTGCGTTTCTGCCTCCAGCTCTACCTGTTGGTTTCAGAAAGGAGTTAGGACTTAAGGTGTGCAGTTTTTCTAATATCCAAAGAAAACAGAGTGAGAACCTTTAGATCACAGAGTTGGACCTAATCTACATTTCAAAGTTAAACTGGCTATTGGTATTTATACTGTACAGTATGTGCAGGTGACCATTATTTTTTCATTCTTACTGTACCTCTCAGATAAATGAGTGGATAACGTCTGTCTTGTGCCATGAATTGTAGTTGCTATTAAAGTCCTAGCAACGATGGCAATATTACGCTGACAAGTGTAGATCAGGGGAAAGTGTTGGTAATGAGTTTGTTAGTTTCTAAGTACTGTATAAAACCACCCTAAACTAAGTGTTGCTCATTTCTTGAATTACCCTCAGTGCAAGAAGAGCCAGGAACTTTTCATTTGCCACAGGTGCGTGGGTAACCAACACTACACTATGTGTGTCTTTGTGTGTGTAAATTGTCCCAGACCACATGGTTGGCTGTGTGCATGAGAAAAGCCTGCTGTGCCTCATTTCACGTAGTCGGCTGACTGGCATTTCCGTCTCTCAGATTGGCATCTTCAAATGGACTGAGAAAGCACTTATACTTAGTGCTGTTATTTTGACAAACATGAGAACAATGCATTCAATCAACAGTAAATGATCTCCAAGAAATCAATTTAGCACTAAGGACTTTTAGTTAAGATAAAATTAGCCTAAACAAGACTGCTCAATTCTTCTGCTAGTAAATTAGCACTCTGTCATGTTTTCAGGGTAAAGGTATTTGGGGTATTCTTAATTGTTTCTTAATGCGTATTAGGGTGTCCCAATGGAGAACTGTAAATGGGAGCTGTGTAATTAAGTTCGCTCTTCCCAGCTGACACAGGGTGAATGCTGTCTAACCTTTCCCTGCCAGCCTATTCAAACCACATTCCTGCTAGGAGCCAGCTTGTAGTGACAGCTCATAAACCACACACATTCTCAGATGTGAGTGAGAGAGAGCTGGGTGTTTGTAACACTGTTCCACACTACTAAGAAGGTGAGAAAAACAGCAATAGGTCTGTGAACTCTTGGCTCTCCTGTAAAAAAAAGATATTACCCCACTTATGTGAAATCTGTTTTCCATTAACGTTAAATGGTAACTGTCCATCATACTTATAAAGCAGAAAGCACTGGCTCTCCAACAGTAAGTGTCCCTCTGTTTCTGGGGCAGTGCTTCCTGTACCAGCTAATAGTAATACCCTGCCTGCTCACGCTGTAGACAGGGGTTCTGGAAACTCCTGAATACAATTCAACCAAAGGAATTTAAAGAAAAATGAAACCTCTCTTTTTTCAGCCAATGTCTGGGGAAGATGATGGCTGTTCTCTGTGATTGCTTCATGCCAAGTCATATTTAGGACATCATTGTCCAGTCCTCATGGATCTCAAACTATGCTACACCTACCCAAGAGGTCAAGCCATGAGGACAGTAGAAAGATTAGCAAAATGAAGAACCTGGTAGCTAATATGCTTAAATTTTAAACAGCGCTCAATGAAAACATGATTTGATTAAGTTTTTCGTAAGGAGAGAGAAAAATAATTGATTGGGAAGAGTGATCCTTCCTTTCTGTAGTTTGTCAGGCTATTCCAGTTATTTAGATACCACAACATTAATATGAAGTGCTGCATTTAATATAAACTTATATAAAGAACACAAAGCTCTGTTTAAGTGAGGGATTCCTATCCTCTTGTGTTGGGTGGATTCATTTCTTCCCCCAATACTTGTTCTAACCTCCTCAAAGCCAAAAAGTACCAAGCAGTTGTAATCTGAAAAGTTTTAACACTGATTAATGAGAAATGAGTAGGTGAGTTTTGTCTGAGAGCTTGGTCAGATTGATTTTGTTTGCCATCTCTTTGTGACTTCTTGACGAGAAAGAACAGATAGAGAGCAGAGAGAGGTCATAGCTGCTTCCTCACACACCAGCACCCTGATCATTCATGCTGGGCAGCTGTCATGATGATTTGGCATTGCTCCACAACTTTCAGGACACAAGCACACCTTCTTATCTCCAGCTTTAGGCCTGGCTCAGACCAGGCGCTTAGATCATGAAAATGAGTAGACTGTCCAAAACATTGCACCTTTTTCCATGTCCCAGTAATACAGGATCAATGTTTTCATCAGGGTTTATAATTTCTGCTTTGGTTCCAGTCCTCCATGTCTGTAAATCATTATTTATAAAACAAGGATGTGTTCTTTTTCTAAGAACTTTAAAAGTTTAGTTTCTGCTGTACAATAACATGAACCTGCCTGGAACAATATGAATTCTGTAGGGACAGCAGTCTTGTACTTTTATAAGGCTTGCACTGATCAAATTCTGCAAATAAGACTTGGATTAAGTTAAAGTTAAGGTGAGAGTGTTTGAGAGTGTCCAGCTGCAATTATGTTTTAGAAACAGGTTTCCTCTTTTTTGACCCATCATTGTAAACCAGTCTTACTTGCTCTCATTGCTACTGTACAGCCCTGTCCTTTCACTAGAAATGGATCTGGCTGGCTGGCCTTGCTGTAGCTTAACAAGATGTTTGACAGTGTTGGGAATCGCAGTAGTCCCTCCTCTGGCAGCAATGGCTCCTGTCCTACCTCAGAATTATTTATGTAGGCTTTCTCCTGCAAACCATGATGCCAAGGGCAGTGAGAGGGAAAAGGATTTATTGTTTTTCTTTGGTTTTCAGAAAATTGAAAATGAATAAAAATTTGGTTTATGAAAAAAGGCAGCCCCTATAAATCAGTGGTGGTTTCCGCGTCAGTAAAGCAATCAAAGGTGTCATACCCAGAGGAAACTGGAATGCTGAAGTCGGTCAGGCTTATTACTGTGGCTTTGAAATGTGTTTGTTGGGTTTGTGACAGATCTTTGACAGATACTTCACATACCCTCAGCTTGTATGCCTTCTCTTACTTCCATGCAGAAAACACAGATGTTCTTGTGGTATGAGCCTCCAAAAATAACAGCCCACTTACTCCATCAGACTTGGATTTTAATTTGTTTGCACTCAGCTGACCATCCATTGCAACGTGCATCACTGTGTGTAAAAATCCAAAAGAAATGAGAAAGCAGACAGTAAACCTTCATTCAGTAATGCAAGCAGAGAGATTATTGCCACTGCCCTGAAAATGATCAAGGTAAAATGCACAGAAAAAATCCTGGTCCACACACATACTGTAGGTGAAAGGAACTGCATGTGTTTTATATCTGTGACAAGTGTTTTAATTCCTGAAAAGCACTGACAAGCCCACCCAGCAAATTCCTTAATCGTTAACAATGAGACAAGGACTTCTGGGCAAAAGCGGAATTCGTGCATTTAGGATTTAGAGTAGAAGGCACCTATTTACAAATAGAGAGGTAGGTGTTCCCAGTATTGTTGTTCCCAAAGTTCCGAGTAGTGTTGTGTTGTTGAAGCCATCTCCCTGGGATGTTGAAGCCATCTCCCTTTCAGGGATCTTGGAAAAATGAATTACTACTTGAAATCGAGCAAGATGGATGGCCTCCTCTTGTTTCTTGTGTCCTCACGTTCCTAGGAGTCTGTTGACTCAAGCATTTAACCCAGCACATGTTATTGATTTCCATGTAATTGGCTGCATGAGATCTAATTCCAGAATCCTCAGGTGTGTATCTGGCTTTGTGGGTGGTCTCCCGTTCCGCACATTCAGTGATAAGTTCTAGGACTCGCCTCTAAATGACCATGTAAAAGTGCTTCCATTGTGCTTCCATCCTTCCACTACTTTGAATAAAGGAGTCGGAATAACTTTGAAACCATGTGTTTTTTACTAAAGTTAAAATGTATGCATTGATCATAATAATGAACATATTACAGTGTAAAATTATTTGTCAGTGTTATAAAACCAGTGCAAATCACTTTTATTATTTAAGAAAAACATGACCCGATACAGTCACTGAGTGCTGAAGCAGACCCAGTCCTAAACAATGACTGTGCATTGTCTTAACATACCACCATGCAAACATTTTTTTAGAGTTTTTTTTATTTTAAATGACAAAACTGAATAAAAGAATGTAAAAAATCCCCATTGTCGTAAGAAAATAAATTGTTGTACTAGCTCATTGAAGTTTTCAAAATGTTTTGGTCCAGATATCTGTAATTTAGCAGCATTGTTTCTTTTTGTTTTAGATGCAGTTTCAAGGCTTTTTGGGGCCTTAATAAGATAAAGATACCAAAAAGCCGAGCTCTGATGTCCCAAACTCTTTTTACTCTTTTATTAGTGCATTTCTAAAAAAAGTAGCTGATCCCTTTGTATTTTACATTTTGAAAATCTGGGTGAGCTAAATGTAGTGGCCACCTTCTCTTTCTCAGTGCAGTGCACCTTCTCTTTCTCTTAAAAAGCCCTGTTTCTTATTTCTTTGTGAAACACTCTTACTCAGGATCTGTAACTACACATGATTTTGCCATTAAAAATTGCCATTGACTCCACTCTGTATTTTTATGGCTGTGCTGGGCTTTGTCATATCTGCAGTAGTAACCCTTTCCCCCTGTTGTGTTTTTCCAGAGTTGCTGGGCTCCACAAAGAGACTGAACGTCAATTACCAAGATTCTGATGGGTGAGTCCACAACATACTCTCTGAATTATACTGTACCTAGCTGCTGCAGTATATCATCTCATCCTACATGCCTGTTCTAAAGGAATGTCTGAATGCCTTTTAGAGAACTATGATTTTAACCTTTCTAGCTGCAAAGTGTTAGTTTCATTTCTCCTGGCTCAGTCTGTGATATGTTCTTCTTAAACAAAAATGAAAGGCTGGATTCTCAAAGTACCTGTTTTAGAGGTCAAACCTCCCATTATTAGTGGTGCAGGAGATGAAAGACAAAGATGTCATTAGCAGATGGTCTCTCTGTTTTTACAACTGCAGGTGTGTACTGTAAAAGAAAATGTCAATGTCATAGTGTAAACATGTGAACTTTTCTGTCAGGCTTCTGAATGAAACACCTGTGACCTGTGAGCCTTGCTTGGAAAGCTTGTAGCGGAGGTGTCCTGCCATTGTGACACTGCAGTGTCTGGCTGTGAGCTGCATCTGCCTTCCTCTTGTTGTGTCTGAGCTGTAATCACAGAGCCCTTCCTCTTGGTGCTGCAGTACTAACAAAGGAGAACTCCCAATTTGTGCTCTTGTCATTATCTATGAACTGAGTCTTTTGTCCTGCACTGGCGAATCCAAATAACTGAAACTTTGTAGTCTTTAACACAGGAGACTGCAAGGAGACCTGACTCAAGGATTTTATAGTAAATACTAAATAGCAACTTCACTGCCAGGTGAGGGGAGTAAATGACTTCATTTATCATAGCATATGAAAATATCCAATCTAATAAGGCATCCTGGGTAAATGGATTCATAGATAGAGGATGTACTGTATTATCTTTAAAGCATTGTTTTGTCACAAGGACAGTGTCCTACATTAAGTTGTTTTCATTAGTTAGGTCCAGTTGAGTAGCTTATTAAAGTTAGCTTGTTAGGAGTCTTTTAATATAGATTCTAGAAGAACACCACCTGGCAGCTCTTATATAGTGCCTTTCATCTATTCAATCACAAAAAATATACCGCAGTGACTCCAACTGGAATATCAGCTCTCCACTTCAGTGCAGGTACCAGTTTAGAATGGGCAGTGGGGGGGATAAGATAAATGTTATTATTCCCTAGGGTAATTTTTTTATGGATTCACAGCACTTTTGTACATTTTGATACATCACAAAACATTATTCATCACATCTGTTGCACACTCATAACTTGTTACAGCAATCATGGCGTTACACATACGTAGTTTGTTAAGATTTAGTCCGTTTATACTGACACAATAGCATTCTTTGATTTATTCCTTTAATAAATTGATACATTTCTTTGTATTAATTCCTTTAATATATAAGGAATATTTGAAGGAGTTCAGGTCTGCATTGCTGTGAACAAATCCTGTTTACTCCACTGCATGCTGCTTCACTAAGAAAGAAAGCACTGCTTATCTGTTAGTGCTTGCAAGCCTCGTGCTCTTTGTGCTGAGACCCTTGTAATGACAAGGCTGTCAGACAGCAGTACTATGCCTTCCTGGGCACTTTCAAGTCATGAATTACTGAGATGTGAGTCTGGGAAACATGCATTCACTTAAAAAGGATAAATGTTAATGTGATTCATATTCACATCCATATGGCTGCCAGAATTTTACTCTCTGTTTTTTTTCTGGCTAGAAGCTGCCTCTGATTTCTCCACAAAGAGAGAGTGGCGTGCTCCACCAGGGGATCTTGCAGATCTAAAATGGGCAAACTGAAGTGTCAAGCCCAAAAGAGGGGATCTTGTGCAGTTTAGATTATAATGTTGCCATTCACACCACTCCTCTGACATTCCTAGCATGCACGGTAATCTTTCATCAACTGCCAAACAGAGCCTGATTCTTCAGACACTTCTGATCTGGTTAAGAAGAGTTGGAAATATAATTGGGGAACAGGAGGGAGCAGGTAGGAAATTGTGTGTGTAGACAAATTGGTGTTAAAGCAGGAGCAGGAAGCTGTGTTATTCTAACCCCAAGGCACTGTGCTTTCCCCCTTGTACAGAATAAAAATGCTGACTGGGTCTTTTTATCTCTCATTACTGGGTACACGGTTTCCAGTCTCCCCCCCCCCCCCCCCCATTCTGTTATAACGTGTGTATCCAAGGAAAGAAAAGTTAACATCTTGCTCCCAGGCACATGCTTGACGGCTTTGATGGAATAAAAAGACAGCAAATGAAATGCGATCACATCTTTGCCTTGCAAGCCACAGAATGCCCTGCTTTTGACTTTAGGTCGGCAGTCTCAGTCAATTTGCAGAGATGACGAATCCACCAAACTGGACAGTTGCTTTTCTGCATTCAGTGTTAAAGGCTGACAGTAAAGGCATTGTTCTCTAGAGCTCTGTTGATATTAAAATGAACCCCCACCCAAACATACGATATGCTGCAGTTTTCTCACGACATTTCTGTGCCTCATGACACAAGTATCTGGAATTAGCAAAACCAGCTAAATCGGGACCTGCATGATGACCAAGTTAGTAGTCACAAGCTGCTGCTGTGTTATTGTCTTCTCCATTTGTGCTTGGTCTTGTCTTCCCATACTCTTTCTGTCAATGTCACTCAAGCTAGCATTGAATGAATAATGAGGGTGTCAGTCGACTGTACAGTACCATATATGCACTTGTCATATTCAGGGCTGGGCTTTTCTGTGTAGGCTCCAAATTTTGACATCTTCAGTTCTTGCTGTTTCTTCCCACATCTGAAAGTATACTTTGGAAGGACTGATGAGCAGGTTGTGTCCTTCAGTGCACACTGTCCAGCCCTAATTGTTCTTGATGTTGATCCAAATCAGTTAGGGGTGTTCTGATTCCTTAAACTCAAAAGGGGACAGATCAGCTTGGGCGCTGTCGTCTGACCTGGCATTTTTTAGGGTGTAAGCCTAAGAGCCTGGCTATTTTACCCCATGCTGGGAAGTTCTTCATTATCATCATTATGATTAATAATCACTTTGTATTTCTAATTCAAGGGAACACAGCCTGTCTTCCTTAAATCAAAGCTATTTTGGGCAACACTTCCACATGTTTCCCAACTGTTTCCAAATCTAAGCCTAAGGGAGGAATAAAAATCTCATATGTGACTCTTTACTACTTTAAATGAGAAACCAATATAAAATTGAAAACTATGACTAGACATAGTCATCTCAGACCCCTCTCACCCAGCTCATCATCTCTTTCAGCTTCTCCCTTCTGGAATACGTTTCAAATCCTTCCTCTCAAAGACTGCCTGCTTCAACCTCAGCTTCTTTCCCACTGCCATATGAACTCTGAATTCATGTTGAACTCTGAATTCCATTGTATAGTTTATGCTGCTGCACAGAAAGTTGTTTACATATGTACTGTGTGTGACGATGTTTGTCTGTCTTCTTTCCTATTTAAATTTGTACTGTATATGTTGTATGTATGTCTGATCTGTGTTCTTGCTGTACCGATAGCAAATTCCACCAATGTGGTGTGTGGCAATAAAAGATAAACTAACATACTGTAGTACTGTAGATGGCTGAACTTTAACTTATTTCACTGATGTTTTCTCCTTTTATGTGCAGTGCTTGCCATATCTAATAGCTTCCTAAGGGGCAACAGGCAGGAGCATAGTACTTTTATAATTCATCAGTGTCCCTGGCACTCATTCCTCTTGCAAACTCAATGTACTACAATCTGACCTGCCTAGTAAGCACACCTTTTTTATCCTCAGCTCAACACCATTGCTGGGTACAGATCTGCACTGACAGCTTCACAAGTGTTTCCAAAGCATTTAATCAATGAGGAGTGCTGCCAGTGGCAGTTTAGAGTCCCTATGCTTCGGAAAGCACTAGGCTCCCGAATTTCCAAGGAACTGGTATCCCATTTAAGGTATTATGATTGCCATCAGTATAATGGCAATTTATAAAAAAGAATTGAAATGCCAATAATGGCATGTTACATTAACTGTAACTGTGCTCCTGCTACATTTTGAGCTTGGTAAACACATGCTTGTGCCTGGTGGCTTTGCTTGCCTATTAGGGCAATGCGGTGGCTCTGTGGCAAAGGATCTGTGCCTGTGGCTGGAAGGTTGCCAGTTCATATCCCGCGGCTGGCAAGGCCCCTGAGCAAGGCCCTTAACCCCAACTGCTCCAGGGGCGCCGTACAAATGGCTGACCCTGGGCTCTGACCCCAAGCTTCTCCCCCTGTCTGTGTGTCTCATGGAGAGCAAGTTAGGGTATACGAAAAGACAAATTCCTAATATAAGAAATTGCATCTGGCCAATAAAGTGATCTTGAAAAAGAGCCTGGTGCAGGGGGTTATACAGCACTTTGAGGTTGGAATCACAGGTATTGGAACTGCTGTGTGAAGTTGGACTGTACCCCTTGTCTTTTATGATGGGTGCTCTTAATGTGTCTGTTGTTGATCTGAGGAAATACTGTTGCTATTGGATAAAAATACATGTCACGATCCGCTTTGGGAACCTTGCTAGAGTTAGTGAAATCTGACTAAATTTGTTGGAATCATCTTGTTCATCTGTTAATTAGTATTTTTTTACCACCTAGCCTTTAAGAGGATTTTTAATAAGCTTGTTCCACTGAAACAAAGTGGTGATGGTCCTTTCAGAGCCATTTAAACTAGTCCTGAAGTTTCCCTCCTGCTCCTGAGTGCAGGTTTGAATGACTCAATCTTTCTATTTCGTTTAGCAGAAACTTCATCTAATTAACAGAGGAAAGCTGAACAGTAACTAGCCTAAGATTGTGTTCAAACAGGCTAGTAAAACCAGTTTTACTATCGACACCTCATTTAAAATAGACATTTTGCCAGGTTCTGTAAAAATGTTTTTTTTTCTGAACTAGAACCTGACTGCTCCACCCTCTTTAACTCCTTGAATTTGATTTGGATTAGAGCTCCAGTGTATTTCCCAAGGCATTCTGCAGGGCTGTCCCAACTTTGCTTTTGTCATTATGTTTTGGAATACTTTATTTTCCTGTTGAGGTGTTTGGATTAAAAAAATATATATATTTATGGCTCATCATACTGTAGCTGTCC